GAAAACCAAATCGGCATTACCTATGGGATAACTTGACTCCGTTTAATTGTCATTGCGAGGACAAACATCATCCTTTCAAATGTTTTGACTCTTCCAGTACACGCTTCTTCATCACCATCACCTATTTTCATTTTCACTCATTTTTTTGGCCTAATTACATTTTCACTCCTCACTTTGCCAAAATTTATACCATCATTATTGCATGTTAGCTTATAAGGCTTTTTTTTAGGAAATTTCTTCAATGTATAGGCTTCGTGGCCTTGTTTGGAAAATTTCACCAAATTTTACTGCTCAACTTTACCTAAAAATCACTGCTCCTAAACTTAACTATAGGTTAATTCTGTCAACATTAAAAAATTTCTTTCTCATTACCTTAATGTTAAAAAAGCCTGACATCCATTTGTCATCAATGGGTCCTTCCATTTTTTAGTATTGTTTTATTATTTTTTATTGGATTAAGGATTATTTTCACCCTCAACTTTTATTTGAAGAGTTAGTGAATACCCTCAACTCAAATATTTTAGAATAAAAATATTAAAAAATGTCACGTAAGACCCACAAATGGCAAATAGATGATGCGATAATGATAGGGTGACGATGAAGATAATTTTTTAATGTTAACCCTTCGTTTGGATAGGAAAAAAAGTTGAGAGAAAATAAAATGAAGAGAAGAGAAAATTAATAGAAAATATTATCATTTCTTATATTTGAATGAGGTGGAGAAAATTAGACGGAAAGAAAATGAGCAAATAGTATAATGAGTATGATTCTCTTATATCAAAATATGTCATGTTTCATATAATTATTTAAAAAAAAACAAATTAAAAGGAAAAATTATATTAAAATTAACTTTATAAAAAAAATTAAAACTAATTTGCTCATTAAAAAATATTATATTATTATTATATTTTAAAACCAAATAATTTAATAAAAATATATTATTTTTCATTTAAAATATTAAAAGGACATAATTTATTAAAATTAAATATAATTCATCTACACAATATAGTGGAACATCATAGCTTCTAGAAAAGAAGACAAAGAAGAGTATTGGGAGAGAGAGATTTTGCATAAGAGAGAGAAATTGACAAAGTATAAGGACATGAGAAAAAAGTAGAAGAGAGAAGGACACATGCAAGGTCTCCCTTATTAATCTCCACATTAACTCCAAAATTAAGATAATCAAGAGACTCAACCTAAATGGATTATCAAGTTTGTAGAATTTATAAAATAGGATCTCAAGTTTTTCAAACTTTTTAAATATTCTCATAAACCTTTATTAATTCAAAAATCATAGTAGTAAGTTGTATGTGAAAGCATGAGATCTTAAACGAATCAAAGCATTTGAAATAAAGTTGAAAATAAAAAACTATGCAGCAAAAAACCAAGGTGTGCCATAGCTTACTGCACGTGCGTTATAGCATGTTGCCTCTGTGCCTTGCGCTGCTGCTCAGACACCATACCCCATGACACATTGCACATTTTTGACAACATTGTTGTTGTCATATGATGGCAATTTGGGTAAACTTCTAGCACATCCCATTTCTCCATCCGACGTCTAACTAAAGCGATATAGGTGTCTACAGAGAGTTTTCTCCTAGCTCAACTAATGGCACTAGCTTCATAATTAAATTATTTTTCAATCAAAAATTGAACACCCATTTCAAAACTCACTACTTTTTCATAATAACATGCAACTAGGGTGTTCATTTCACGATACAAGTGCTAAAAGTCTATAGCAATCCTTAGACCATACTCAATAGACTATATTGGATTTGTGTAGTACAACACATCACAATTGAACACATCAAACCCATTTTCAATACTCAACCTCTTAATCACAAAAATAAAAGGGAGAGCCTCAAATGCATAATTATCATAATCATTCTATAAAAATCGCATTCTTCTTACTCCTTACTTATACTAGTGTTTTGGCCTTGTTTTAGATTTCTTAATCAATACAAATACATCTTGGGGCTCAAAATACATAATTGAATTCAATCTTCTAATAGTGCAAGTAACCTAATAACATGTACTTTCATAGTTGGCAATATAATGTAAATCATACACATAATAATCAAAATGACAGCGAGGCCTACAAATAGGATAGTAATCCTATACTTTGCACTATTTCTCTTGATCTTGACTTGATGAGTTAGTTCCTGTAATATTGAAGAGAGAGAGGTAAGTACAACCACTTAGTAACTAAGACATGTCTATCTTGTACTAATACATGTCAATCAATTTAATACAAGTGAAAATCCATTATTATACTCATAACAATTTGGCATGTATAAAAACACACATTTGCATTTTTCAATCATTATAGACATAAGGTCATGAAATGACAACATGATAATATTTACCTAACTCATTAGTGGGTCATGGTTTTCCTTAAATATCTCATTATGGGGTGTCATTTTCTTTAATTTAGCTTCTTCATTGAATAAGTGAAAACTATAGTCGATTCTAGTTTCTTGTTACACAATGAGACAGTCCCTCATCAAACAATGAAACAATAAATAAAAATAAATTCAAGAAAACCATCAAGCTCCAATGGTAGTCTTACCATATGAATTTTAAACTCATTACTCCTCTTCCTAGGTGAACTTTTGCATCACATGATCATGCAATGCATATAGATGCAATATCTTATAGCATGCGAATATTCATTATACAGGCATGCATAAAATCCTTATTGTACTCAAGTCATAAAGGAGCATTACATAGCACATATACACAAATCATTAAACTCCACTTCACTTTACATTATCAAACTTCTTACCATACACATTTATTGAACTTCACACAATTACGTCATTGAACTCCATAAAATTATAATAGTTTATTTTCAAATATTTCATGCCACACTTACATGTTAAATAATTTCACACACTTCAATTGTAACGTATAAATCAATAAATTAATTAACACACAAAAGCACAAGGAAGATTTTCTTTAGTTACCTTAGACCTTTGAAGGTCAAAAGTTTACTTCTCAAATACTCACTTCCAAAACTTTCACGAAACTTGAATGGTACTAAGTCGCAATTAATCTATATTTATTTACAACAACAATCATCAATAACCTTTTTATGATAATTTTCAACATCTAGTTTAACAGTTCAACACTCTCAAAATTCAATCTCCTCATATAAAAGGATAACTATAGGGCTTATTAGCTTTCTTTAACTCCCACTAATTTTATTGAACTTCCAACTAGCCACTAATAGCTTTATATTGCTTCAACCACCTCATTTATGATGGATTTTCAGGTATTTATTATCCTTTAATCACCAAAACTCACAATGCCATCAATTCAAAGTTTAAATAACCTAAACAACTCACATTAACTTTATTTAAATCAAGGGGTTCAGATCCGTAGCTTCTATAGACCGAAATTATCTTTTTTGACAAACCCTAACTTTCATATTCAAGAAAAATGGAAGAGAGAGGAGAAATTCAAGCTTAGTAAACTTAGCTTTAGTATTTAAAAGTTTCAAAACACTCTCAATGCTTTCAAATCCCAAGCCCTAACAAAGGTTTCCACAAGCTCCTCATTTCCTCTTTTGTTTCTTCTTTCTTTTTTTATCTATTTCATGTTCCTATTTCTATAGAAACACTATTGTCCGCCGCGGTGTATGTACCATGTACCATGGTACATGGTACAAAGAAGGGACTCTTGCATTTTGGTGGCTCGTGTTTCGTGACATGCAACACAGAGTCATTTCCCTTTATTTTTCTCCCTTTTTGATGTTCGGGTGGCTCGACTTCACTTTGAACCCAATCCTAGGGCTGAAATCACAGCCCAAAACATCCATTAATTCTCTGTAACCACACATCACATTAATTTTCTTAATTAACCTCATTTACTTAGCTAATTGTGGGTTAAATTTTCTAGGATGTTACAACACATACAAAATAATAAATTTCTTCCCAAAATCTCTCCATATATGGAGAGAAAATATGGTGGGTCCCACCTTTTATTTTCTTCCCTACTTTTCCTTCTTTATCCAAACAGAAGAAAGTGTATTTTTTTCCTAGTTTTTCCCTCATATTTTCTTTTCTCCCACATGTTCTCTCAAAACAAACAAAGCATAAGGGACATAATTAATCCATAGTTAAATTTAGGATGTTAAATGACCTTTTGGATAAAATTGAGGGGGGGAGAATGGCCCAACTCTTTTTTCAATCATCTTAAACATTTCTTTTAAACTCATTTTCTTTCTTTGTTTTTTTTTCATTTTTGTTTACTTTTTTTTTCATTCCGTTTTGATCAAAATGCTTCCAGCAAATCAAATGGGGTAAAAATGTGAACACTTTTCTTTGATAGGATTGGTACTCACATTTTGAGCAGGATTCATACTTATATTTTGAGGATCAACCCCTTACACTGGGTTTGGGGTGTCTGTAGCATTTTTTGCCGTCTTATTAGATAAAATTTCTCTAATTGTTAGCTGAAATGAAGGGTTGAGAGCTTGAACATTAACATGGATAGCAAAGACTGCAACAAGACAATTGCACCCTGCCTGTTGGTAGTTTAGAATGTGTTTTTTAAGCGAAAACGAAAACAATGATTCGACTTTTGAAAATAGGGAAACACCCCACATCTACAATTGATTAGCTTTTGAAAACCATGAAAGTCTCTTCTTCAACTATGGATTTGGCTGATATTATGAACCATGCCCCAAATAAGCTATGCTATTCATAGCCATGCCTCCAGGAAATTAACCGCACTCAGGGAACTTACTTCTACTTCTTCAATATGTTCTCTAATGCCCTTTTGAACATATGTTGAACTCATATTGAATAATTTGATAACGAAATACATTTAAAAGAAAAACTTTTCTGAGTTTTACCTTTAATCAAATCCTTGAAGTGTGTATTATCAAGAAAATTAAAGAAACCAAATGTTTCGTATCACAGTTGCATGGTTGAGTTTAGCACTTTAATTAACAACTACATATTACCTAATTAAATTTCTCTTGCTCATATTTGCAGGGGAGATAAAACTTATAATCATAGGTAATGGATCATACTTCCTTTTTTTTCCCCCATATTTTTCATTACAATTGTCTATAGAATTTACTATCTTTCAATTAACACTCCATATAAGTTGTCATTTTCTTGCCACTTTTTATACTTTCCAATTTTAGCGCTACTTCTTCGGCATGCTTTTCCTTTTATGTACCTCTGGCTAAAGAAGAGGAGGAATCCCTAGGCTTCCGTTAGAATATATGTTAAAACTGTAATTTGAGAGGAATACCTTTCAAATTTGGTTTCAGGAGAACAAGAAATTGACCAAAAACAGGCAAATATTACTTATTTCCTAACCGTAGTTGTGGCCTTAAACATGGTTGGGAAAAAATTACAATGTTTGGTTATAAAGTTTAAAATTGTGATTTTGAAAATGATACCATTTGTCAACCACTCTTTTTAAAACTTAGTTTGAACTTCAAAACCATGGTTTTCAATCTTCAAACATTTTTCCAAACAAGCATGCAAACGTGGAGATAGAATTGATCAATAGCATGTCTAAATATATAGCGTACATACAACAGACAACCAAACTTCTCATTCTAAGATTATATTACAATATTTTCACCTATTTGAAAGGCTTTGTTTTCAAGCATGTTGAGCACATGACATAACCTAGAAATTTATGAACGTCAAGATTTCTATTTAACGATTTACATTACTATGTGTGATAGGTGCTACGAGCGGAACAACAGCACTATTGCTAATATTTTTTGCTATTTTTTGTTGTTGTACAATCAAAGCACGGAGGAAAAATGTTGATCAAAATATTGAGGCCCTTATTAGAAATCAAGGAGTTCTGGCCGCCACAAGATATAAATTTACTGACATCAAGAAAATCACCAATTCTTTTACAGAGAAATTGGGACAAGGTGGTTATGGTACTGTATACAAAGGAAAACTGATCAACGATTGCCCCGTTGCTGTAAAGATATTGAAGCCATCCAAAGGAGACGGGCAAGAATTTATCAATGAGGTTGCAAGCATGAGTAGAACTTCCCATGTTAATGTTGTTGCCCTTCTTGGTTTTTGTTTAAAAGGTCAGAAAAAGGCTCTCATATATGAATTTATGCCTAATGGATCTCTTGACAAGTTCATTCACAAGGCAAATGGAACTAGTCCATCCTTAACCTGGGAAAATTTGTACAAAATTGCAACTGGGACAGCTTGTGGACTCGAATACTTACACAAGGGATGCAACACTCGAATTCTCCATTTTGATATAAAGTCACATAACATTCTTCTGGATGAAGACTTTTGTCCAAAAATATCAGATTTTGGACTTGCTAAGCTTTGTCCTAGGAAAGAAAGCATCATTTCAATTTCAGAAGCTAGAGGAACAATAGGATATCTTGCTCCAGAAATTTGGAATAAAAATATAGGAAGAGTTTCACATAAATCTGATGTTTACAGTTATGGAATGATGCTGTTAGATATGGTTGGATGGCGGAAGAACATGAATGCAGAAGCCAATTGTAAGACAGAGATTTATTTTCCAGATTGGATTTATGAGAAAATTGAGGAAGGCAGCAATTTGGGACATGATGGGGCAAACACCATGGAAGAAAATGATATTGCAAGGAGAATGACGATTGTGGGTTTGTGGTGTATTCAAACATTTCCAACACAAAGACCTACAATTAGTAGAGTGATTGAAATGTTAGAAGGATGCTTAGACTCTTTACCAATGCCACCAAAGCCTGTCATGGCTTCCCCTCCAAGATTAGAACTTGAATCTTCCACAAGTGACGATACCAACACACAAAAGTTTGACCTCGAAAGCTCTTCCCTAATGCTGGAGAGACACTAGAACTTAGAAATGTAGGAAAGATGTTGGAAGAGTCTCTTAAATTTGGCATTTGCGACTATTAAGTTTAATAGTATCGATTTCAGGATTATTGTTTTTTGAAATTAAAGGATGAACATGGCTTCCTCGTAAATGCCGTCAAAGCTGTACTGTACATGTCTTCTACACCTCCCATTAATTCTTCCTCTCCTTAAGCATTTGTCAAGACTTGCATTATTGATTAGATGCTTTTAGTAAGCCTATTATTAATTTCATGTATATATGGAGAAAAATGGGGACTCTCACCTTAATACTGTTATTATAAACAATAGCCTCATTGGTGTATCTTGAAAATATTTTTGACATATTCATTTAATGTGATTGCATATTTTAAAATTGGAAATTAAATCCCATTATAATCTAATCCAACTCCTTCAACCATTTGAACCAATTGCTTTGAAAAAAAAAAACAAGAAGAAGAAGTTAGCACCACTATTATATGGTTTTTGTAGGTGTGTCTTTATGATGAGGGAAAAGTAGCATCATCATGACAATTTTTTAAGTGTTCTTGAACAAGAAATTTTCACGTCTTCTTCTTCTTCTTCTTCTTAAAGAACTAGCTTTTACAAGCAAAAACTATATTGAATTTAACACTGCACGTTATATTTATTTTTATTAATACTATATTAGTTAAAATGTCATTACTTTATTATGTCATAGAATGCATTCTTAATACATAGAAATTCTATTTCATCTATTGTAGCATCCATTACCAATAAAAAAAAAATATTAATCCGTTACTACAACATTGTCAAATCAAACATAGAAGAGATGACAATCAAAATAGATACCTACCATCTCATTAGCCCAAGTTCCTAAAGATCTCTCTGTAAACAACACTTGCTATTGTTCTCCTAAGATTTTCATGATCATGTAACAAAATCTGCAGTCCATTCATACATCTTACCCTTGACAATGCTACATACCATGCATTTACTTCCTAATGCAAAGCATTGGAAGGTTATGCATAGATGTTTATTGTAAATTTAATGATTAATTCTTATAATAATCTGTTGATTGCAAAATTTGCTTGGTTTGCTAGCTTTTGCGTAAAAAAATTAAAACTGCTAGACATCTATTTATAATATTAAACTCTACAATTTTTTTATTTTAAATATAATGCCATTATCTATATTGTGCAAATATTTTTAATTCAGATATAACTCCTTCACTTTGTAGTTTAAGAACTTTTCATTTTTTTTATAATCCTACAACTATTTTAATTTTGAATGCTGCTAACATTTACTTTCTTGTACAGTGCATCATAAAATTATAATTAACATCTTCTTGAATTATAAATAAAATAGTCCTACATCGAACTTATATACTAAGTTATTACCAAGTTATTACTCGTTGACAATAGCTATTACATGAAGACCGAGAAACTAAATCAAACTGTAGCTCTTGTTGGATAAATTGGGGAAGTACCATTAAAACTGAAACTCCAATGCTACTCAACAGAGATGTCTTGGCCAATTTATCGGCAACTTTGTTCACCTCCCGATTACACAATTGTATGGCAGGAACCCCATCCCTTTTTATAAGGCTATGCATTTCCTGGGAGAATTATAATTATGATATGATGTTTTACATAAAAGTTCTATGAAAGGAGGATTTAGACATTGATTATAGTCAACTTGCTATAGTTTATTGCAAGTAAAAGGGATATATTGGAAGTATGATCACATGCTTGTTTTCAATAAGGGTAAATGGAAATATATTTTTTGCATCTACAAACAGTGTAACTCATCAAGATTACATGAACAATATGTAAAAAAATTACTTGAACAGAAATTAATATTATTTTTCACATTAATGGACAAAGCATCCCTAATTAGACATGACTTACCATATAAACCTATGAACACCAAAATTTACCACCAAGGAAACCTATATAAACCTATAATCCACCAAGAAAAAAAAAATACAAAAAGACCATTGGTATATGCACAATTCAACCACATAAATCCTCATAAATATATATATATATATATATATATATATAAACCTTGCCAATGGCTTCAAAGGAGGTTAATGTCTCATTGCAAGTCCAAACATAGCCCTCCTAAATGATTGACAATAAAACTTGAATTAGTTAGTGTTTTACTTCGTCATATACGCTTATACTACTCGTAGCACTCGCGGTGATTATAATCAATCGTAAGATTAGAACAATTTATATTCTCACAATAACTTACAATATTGGTGACCCTTAATAAATCAAGACTGATTAGATGACTTCGTTATTTTTTAAAAAATACTTTGCACAAAACCTTACTATTGTCTTGTGTAAAATAAAGTCTACTAATATAGTTTAAAATAAAGTCCACGCAAAGAAAAAAAAATCTATGGGAATATGGAAATATGCAGTTTTTATTCTTCACATTAACATATGAAAATAAACTGGTCTCCATTTATGTCAAGAAAATGACATTGAGAAAGTCATAATTCATACAGATTCACTTGAGGGTTTGCATCTGATTTTGAGGGAATGTGCACCAGGTCACCCCCTTATGTCCATTATATATCAGACACGGAGCTACCTGTCATTCAAAGGAGATCAAGATTGTTTTTACAGGAAGGGAATCGGACTCATGGTGAGGAACATGTATAGCGAGGAGCAAAACTCCAGGCTATTTTTTGAAGCTCCGACTTTCTTCTAAGAAATGGTGTATAGGGGCAAGTGCTCATGCTCCAGTAATTAGGTTCTTGTAACCTTTTATTCTCAAGCTTTGGCTTGTCGTATGTAATTAAAAAAAAAAAAATAGCCAAGATTAAAGAAGTGCTCAATATCTATGTTGTGCCAAGACTTCAAGCACCAATATTATGGTCATAATTGAGAAGTAGGAAAAAAAACTCAAACCAAAACCTCCTCATCTCATCTACTTGAAGGACATAGCGCTCAAGTTGCGGACAAATAATATAACATACCGCCATGAAACATATAGGAGCAGCCATGGATAACATCTATGCTGCTTATATTTTGTTTAAAAATCATAAAATATGAAGACTTTTTAGGGTTATCAAGGCTGTTAAGCAAAAAGTATGTAATGATGCAGACATAGTATAATAGTTTTTGAATCCATATATCTCGAGTCTGCACAAAAACTTGATGGTCCTTGTGGTATATTATTATCTTTCCCAACTGAATTCTCTTTCATCCCAGTATGAAAAACCTGTAAAAAAAAAAAATTTACATAATACAACATAGTTAAAAGTATATTGGGGCCTTTTATATTTGAAAGCTATAGCATATTTCTTGACCAGTGAGACTTTGAGGTGTAGAATTGTTGGAATATAAGGTTGTTTAAAATTTATTGAAACTTAAGGTTATTTATATTTGAAAAAATTAATCTTTTAGTCCTTCAACTTTTAAGTTACTTATAACTCAGTCCCTCAACTATGACTTGTTGTGACTCAATTCTTTAATTATAACTCGCCTATGACTCAATCCCTCAACTTTTAAATCACTTACAAATTAGTCCCTTAATCTTTGTTAATTTTTTTTCCATATTAGCTTATATCTCACATTAATGAATAAAAAGAGAGCATTTTAAAATAATATATGAGAATTTTTTTATCCCTCTTATTTGATAAAAAAAATTAAAAAAAATTAAAAATAAGGATTGAGTTATAAGTAAATCAAAAGTTGAAGAATTGAGTTGCAACAAGTTATAGTTGAAGGACTGAGTTAAAAGTGAGTTAAAAATTAAAGGATAAAAGATTAATTTTTCCTTTATATTTTTGTAGCAACTACTCACCCATGTAGTGCACGTGTTGGGCTATGCAAAATATAGTAACTATGCTTTTTTTTTTTTTTCATCAGAGAAGTTTAAAGTAGAAAGATGACAGATATTTAAATAAGTCTCTATACAAAAAAGTTAAAGTCAATTTCACAATAGCAACCATCAACAACTTTTATAAAATTGGCATCATAACTAAGCAATAAGAGCAATATTTTGTTTATATCAGAAAAAATATAGGATATATGAATCATAATTCTATAGTCTATACGTGTTCTTCAAGACCATGTACTTCTATAATGAAATAATGATCTCCCTTGTGACATTAGTTAATTAGAATCAAGACAAATGGACTAATAGTAGAAAATCAAGTCAAGCCTGAAAATAATATTGAATTTTGCGAAGTTGAAAATCAAGACACATGCTAACAGACGTCTTATCCCAGTTGTCATTGTCTATGCTTTAACCTATTTTAAGGTATGGATTATTTCTTCCTTTGGTGGATAAAGAGGCTTGAGTTCTTAATTAGTTATGTCTCTCTCTTTCTCTTTCTTTCATTGAGATGTCTGAAATGCACAAAATAGAGTCCACCTTATTATTGTCAGATAACAACAGGTTCAGATATGGAAATGAGAGTGCCTTTTTCTATGCCTTTTTTATGCATATACGATGGGTTCAAATTAAATGAAGTCTCTTCTTGATCAGGGCTACCCTTATCCCCAAAACTCATCCTTCCAATGCCATCACGTCCAAAACACATGTAGAATGAATCTACAATGAAACCTTCCGAGGATAACATGCTAGGAACTGGTATTTTCTCCATGTCAAGCCCAAATAAAACATTAGGAGCTACAACTAAGAATGATGCACTTTGAAGTTGTCCACAGCTGCACATGAATTAACTTCGTCTCTAGTACGTACAAGCAACTGTAGAAAAGGGATAAACTAAACAACTAAACTTTACTTGGAACCTAACCAAATGGTTGCACCCATATTTGCCTCAAAATATTTCCGGCAATGGAAGAAGACAACCATATAAAATAGTTTAAAATTGTAATAGTGATTTAATGATCAGCTGTCCAAGCTGTCCTATGAGATTTAATCCTTGAATTTTGTTGCAAGACAAAAAGAGAAACGTACAAAGCAGGGGATCATGTTTATAACTCAATAATAGATAAGAACATCATGTAAGAGGGTTTTTCCTGACCACCTTCTATACATGCCAACAACGAAATTTAAATTTCAAACAGAAACTGAAGGGAAAATGTAGACTATTTGATAATATACAACAATGAATGTAAAGGTATATTAATTAAAATGCAGACCACTTTTAGGGAAAATGCATATCTTCAAAGTTATGAACAGTAAAACTCGAGCAGATCACTACTCCTCCCAACCCTAGAGTCCCTAATTTCAATAACTTAAACATATAATTGAATTTGGAATGACCCAAACTTAAAAATAGCTTTCGTTGTGTTTTTTAGAAAAGAAAAAACTTTGGCAGCAAGACCAAGAATATAGAGGTTAAGTTATTAATTTAAAAGTAATTAGTCAGACATATATTCCTATGGTTTCAATAGTCAGTTCAATGGGTCTTCAATGTCTAAAGGTTTAGTTCCTTTAGTTCCAATTGCATTGGGCTTAGTTGAGCAAAAGGTCTCCAATATCTTTAAATGCAGATGTGATAACACATCAGTCTGAGACAAAAAGGTTTAACTGATATACATCAAAAATTATATGACAGATCAGTAAACATTAAAGAAGCACTGTCATGAACATCACAAGTCCAATCAGAAGTTTCTCTTTTAACTACTGCCTCTATGGATCAAGCATACCATCATTAGCAACATAACGACTAATTGAATGCTTCCATATAAAATATTTCATCATGTCCAATGCTTGTTTCAGAGGTTGCCAAAGAACCACCCCCACAACAAAGAAACATCATCAAGAGAGTTTGGACTTTTCCCGACAAAGATTCTAGACACAACTATTGAAAAAGCTCCATTTGATAACTAAAAACATGACATATACAAAGATTAATTAAAATAGATCCAACAACAGGGCTGCATTACTTCCACTTTTTGCCTTACAATATTAAATCTAAGTCAGCAAACTTTTAGTAAACAGTATAATTATAGTTAAATGTTACAAAGGGTTAACTGATAAACTCTGACTTCCCTTAAGCATCATTATAGTTAAGTGTTTGTTCTGATATCTAATATCAATTATGCAAGGTTTTGTTTCTTGATAATGAAATGTCTACTTTGACATGCAAATCAAACTTGAGTCACTTTTTGTACACTTTTTGCAATTTGCTGTAAATCATCATGAGTCTCTATCATGCATCGACAAACTTGATTTGAGTTGTTTTCCTGCTATTATTTCTTATTGTTATTTCTTTGTTTTTTATGCTATCTCAGTTTTTTTTATTTCCAGCTTTTTGGAATTTAGCATCAAGTCATCTTTTTGTACACTTTCCGCAATTTGTTGCAGATCATCATGAGTCTCTATCATGCACCAACAAACTTGATTTGAGTTATTTTCCCACTATTATTTCTTATTGTTATTTCTTTGATTTTTATGCTATCTTAGGTTTTTTTATTTACAGCTTCTTGGATTTTTGCATTCATATTTTCTTGGAAAATCAAACTCTTGCTATTGTTATTTATTCATGCAAATATTCCATCTGTTTTATTAACACTATATTTAGATAAATAGTCCATCTTTCTCTAAAATTTTGGGTCACAAAATTCAACACATTTCTACTGTGAATAATAAACACTTTAAATGCAACTTAACTTCAATAATGGATAAGCCAAATCAGTGTTCGAAAATTTGGAAATCACAACTTGAGACTCCTAGTGTGAAGCTCATATGCCTTTTCATAGCATCTCTACTGGAGATGCATCAGAGCAGCTTTTCTTGCAAATAGAACAGAACACTCAACCAAAAGGAAAAAAGTTTATAAAAGATTTACCCAGTCAAAATTCTAAAATACAAGAAAATATGTAAATCATATGAAGAAATAAACCATTCTATTTATACTAATCGAAACCTACTTTATGGTCAATCAAGAAAATTAGACAAGAAAATGTTGGAAAAACTGCAGTTACCAAGTATTTACTATCAGGTTTTCCAATAAAATCATGACATATGAATGAATTTCTTGAGGGAATCAATATAATGGGGCAAAGTCTTTGTAACATCCTGAACTTTTAATCCAAGAAACTCATTGCTAATTAAGAATAAATTAATAATTAGTGGATTAATCATGAATTCGGATGGTATATTAGTGTTTTCACCAGTTGGATTGTTGAATGGATAGAACCGAGTGGTGGAACGGCGATCCAAAGTTGAGCGTGTGATTAGCAGTGAAAAGTGTCTCACTGTGCTCACACACCACGGGCATGTGACAAACGCGCTGCAGCGCATGACATAGAATTTGGATAAAGCCTATGTGAGTTAGCTCACAAAACAGAGGAGAGAAAATGGAAAATGAACGAGAGGGGGAGAAGGAGGTCTAACTGTGCTAGGGTCTCGATTTGTGATAGACTAGGAGTTAGTTCCAACTAATGACTTGCTGGGTAAGTTTTATACCGCCCTATACTTCATTTCTACCCTTATCTCTCTTAGCTTAAGTTATAGAGAAATTGAATCAGAAAATTTTGAGGGATTGTTTTCTTACTCCGTAGTATTAGAAAGGGTCTTGGGTGCAAAATTAAAGTTTTGCGATTGGTTTGTTGTTTAATAGTTGAGCCTTAGAGAAATAAGCTCAAATTGGCCTACATTGAGAAGTTAAAAAGGGCAAAAATGCTTATTAAGAGTGTGGGAAGGGTGTTTTGGTCATTATAATGGCCTAAGGGTACATAATTATGCTGAATGGATTTAGTGAACACAAAAAGTGTAAGCAAGGCGAATATAAGTGCTAAGCAATGTGGCTTATCCAAAAGTGGTGTTTTGAGTTAAGTGTGAAAACTGATCAAAGATGCTTGTTTATGTAGATTGAGCATTCAAGGGTCGTCGCTCATGAAAATCTACACATTTCAAGTAATTTAGTGAAAACAATAACCCTTAGTAAAAAAAGATGTGAAGTAACTAGATTAACTTTTTTATCTATTAGCTCGTGAAATTATTTACGAGTTCTTTATGTAAATTATTTATGTCATAATTTATAAAATGATAGAATAGCATTTTTGTGAAAGTGATTCATGTGTGTGAAGGGTGATGCATGTGATGAATGTGGTGTTGCACGAGTGCATAAACATTCAAACATGATACCATGGTCTAAAGTAGCAATTAGTAGCCCTACATTGTGTAAGGCTAGAAAGTCTTAGTCTAAATGTTGATTATTATCCACTAAGGGGATTCAGGAGTGCATGCTCGTAGTGATTGATTGCGCATCGCATCATATTTTTACTTGTTTATTTCAAAAATAGCGTTAGTCCATCTCTTGTGCTTAGTTTTACTTGTTAATCGCTACTTGAGTTTATTCAAGTTAATAGAACGTATGTCTCACTCCATTACTTCATGTTTATAGGTGTTGACAGGTCTAAGAGGTCGAGAAAGGAGGCACGAGAAGAGTAGCTATGTTTGTTTATTGTAACACTACTCTAGAGTATGAATGTATAATTGTATAAATAGTGTTTAAGTTGCCAACTAGGAAGTGAATATACATATATATGTGCCATTTTGGTGATTTGCTTATATAAATTGTGTTGCATCTTCGCCATATGTGCAATTATTTGTGAATCTATGTTCAGGCGTAAATGCTATTACAAGCCAATATATAAATGTATATTTTTGAGAAATATTGTCTCATATTATGTGAAAAGTGATTTGTTCCTAGCTTGTGTAGATACTAGTATAAAGCTAGAGATGTGTATTATGAGCAAGATTATGGAAATAAAGTGTTTATCTTGGTCCACTAGTGTTTATATGTGATTCCATAATATTGTGTATATGTGTGTGAATCACATAGATAGTGAATCCTGACTAAATGATGAGGCTTGGCCCCATTTGTATAAATCAAGTATATGTGAGTGGAACAAGTATGATTGCAAATATGTGATAGTGTATGTGTTTCCTCATCTAAGTCCACAAGTGTTACAGGTGGCATTGAGAGGTCAAGTTGTGTGAATGGGGTAGTATATGTGATATAATGAGCCAATCAAGTATATTTAGTTCTTTTGAATTTGGTTCAAGACCTAAAGTGGTATGATAAGCCAAGGTGTGAAATTTAAACACTTGAGGTGCTTAGTTTTTAAAGAAAAGTGACTTTTTTGCATTTGAGTGTCCAAATTGAGATTGGACCGTTGAATCGTGTCCAAACTTATCTCATTAGTTAGCTTGTCTTATGATCTTTATGTAGGCGCTTGGATCACTCCGATCAAACACTACATGTGAAAATGGCACGCAGCTGAATTTCATGTCGAATTGTTGTCATGATAACAAAATCTGACACATGCATCACGGTGCATATGGCATGCCGTGGCACATGGCACAAAGCTGAAACTTGTAGCTTTGTATCACATGCCACGACACATGTGGTACATGCCGCAACGCTCGGCACATTTTGAAAAATAAAAAATAAAAATAATTGCTTTAATCTCTATTTCAAGGATATGGTGCCTATGCTTCTATAACATCTTTTATTCGGCATTGATTGTATGATTGGGGTATTTTTAACTCAAAGTCAAGATCCCGCATCTTAAAAATAAATTAAGTGTTTGTGTTGTGCGTGTTATACGGTGCACGTAAGTAAAGTCCGTGTTGACTTGTAAGACTTTACAATCTTTATTTAAGATTCTAACAATAAAGCTTTTTTTAGCTCATCATCCAAATAAGTAAATGAAAGAAAGAAATCACATACTGGCACTAGTCATGATAGAATGTTTACTAAAAATGATAAACAATAAAACAAAAAATAAATACAAATTAATCTAATAAAAAGATATGGCAAGTTTCTTCTCAAAAAAAAAGAAAGAAAAATAGACGACATAAAATCATCTCAGTCTCACACTACATTAAAAAAACAGATAGATTCAATAAGCACAATAAGAAAATAGAAACTTTATATGAAGTTCTGGCATATTCTGTATCAAAATGATGAAACTCAGGTGCAGGGACGTACCCACATTGAGCATAGAGGGGCCAATTGCCCCCACTAGAAAAGAAAAAATTGCATTTGATTTTTAGTTAAAATTACATTTGCCCCCTTTAAAATTACAATTGCCCCCTTAAAAAATTAATTACCCCATACTCTCTTCAAAATTATCAAGTATACATACTTTAAAAATATTCTTTACTCTTTTATTTATTATTAAAATAAATTTATGATACAAATGAAACTAATATATATTTTTAAACTTTTCATATAATTTATTTATATATTACTTTAATTAATATTTAGAATTATATTTTCTTCAAAAATATCAATATTTATATTTAGCTTAAATATTGCCCCCTCTAATAAATTTTTCTAGAAGAAATTTACTAAGATAACAAAGATAAGATTGTATCCTATCTAAATAATCAAAAAGAAGATCAAAGTAAACTTGAAAATTACCTTTTTGGTTTGAGCATATTTTCCATAAGAAATATCCAGATAGTGTAATGAGAGTTATTCCTATCAAAACTGATATTATAATAGGCGTTGTCATGTTCCTCTTGCCTATGCCTGTATCAAAGAAAAGAACATTCAGCGAGCCTTCATTTTCTAACAATAACTTCATGATTATACTGCATATGTTGTCATCAGCAGACAACAAAAATGTGTAAAAGATTTATTGCAGCCAAAATAAGGGAAAATTTGATTAAAGGCATTGGTGGGTTCCATCAAGGTCTCACCAGATGCTCCATCAGATTCAATATGCTTAGGTTCAATATAAAAGAGTAAAAAGCATCATTTCTAGATCAGTGCATGAATAAAAATATTCAACTATAAAGCATCACACCAATGACAAGTCAGGAAAAAGTTCTACTGGATTTTATTAACAAAACTACCTCTACTAGATTTTCCAGAATCAAATAGCTTCCCGTGAACAGGAAATTCAAGTGGCATGGATTTGTTCTTCCATTCTTTCAACAAATAGGTCTTCATTAGGAAACATAAGGTGGATCCATGAATGCCCGTTCGAAAACTTGTTCATACTGAGCAGCAGCATTCTCTCTTCTCATCAAATCCTCCGAAGAAGAATTGTGTTCTCCATAAGTCAGAATGGTGTATCTCAGTGCCTATCAAAATTTGAAAACAAAAACTGGGAACACCCAACACTCCAAACCCAAATATCACGGATGATTTATCATTCTATAAAACCTATAAGCAATGGCTAGAAATTATAATAAACACATTACAAACTTATTTGATATAATTGAATTATGATGCAAAATTAGACTTATCTAAGAGGAAAATTGAGCAAAGGATGAAAAATAATTTCTGGGAATGATAGCAGGCAACTTGAGTAAGAGAATTGACTTACTCTTTCTCATTTGCTTCTTTAATTTTAGGCTCTCTTGTATCAGCAAATTTGATCAGGTCCTTTAAAAATAAAGTTTTAATGAGCACCAAATGATAAAGAAAAATCAAGGTCCAGAAATAAAATTTTATGAAGAAAAATATGGAAAATATATGAAGAAAAATATGGAAAATCTGGATACGCTCACATTAATGGCTTCCTTTCCCGTCTTGCACTTGTCCGAAGTTATCACATTAATGGCTTCCTCTCGTTTGTTGTTGACTCAAATCTAACTTCCACTGATGGATTTGGTGGTCTGATTCATCTTTGCTCAAAGACACCAATGACACCAATGGACTTGTCCCAACTGCAAACAATCAACATTAAAGTCAAACATTAAGTTTTTGATCCACACAAAATTAGTACGAACCCATTAGCAGCCTCGTCCTATGTATATTTAAACCGCTCTTGAGTAAAGCATTCAATTTCTAAAACCCTCTCTCTTTACTGTCCATTCAAGTAGAAGGAAAGAGATTTTTTCTTCTTCCATGAACCCAAAGCATTCCATCAAAAACTTGTCTTCTCCGTCCACAGTTCCTTCTTGTGCTCAATGCCTTCTCCTCCTTCCATCGTTTTGATTTGTGAAACTCAGAGAGAAGAAAAAATTAGTTTCCCATGAATAAAAGCACCTCCCTTGAAAACCAAAGAAAAATGAATTTCAAATGGAAATTGAAGGGAAAATGCAGAACCTTGAAACAGTTAGAATAGGGGCATGAATTTTGGCTGCGATGCAGTGAAGGTTGAGATTGTTCCAGAAATTTATTTCCTTTCCTTGCCTGAATTTTTACATCCGCTTGATGTGGTGGTGAGAAACAAGAGAAAAAAGCATCAATCTTTCTGACTGGTTCATCGGTGGAGAAGAAGGTGACTATGAAAAAGTAGAAGCCGAAGAAGAAGCGATAGAAAAGCAAGGCTAAGAAGAAATTGAGGAAGAACAAAGAAGTGAAAGAACTTACAGAAGCAAGAGGGACAGAGCAGAGAGACGGTGGACACTGAAAACAATAGAGGTCGCTGAAAAAGCCGATGGTGGAGAAGACACAAGCGTCTAGAGGTGGAGATCAAGAGCAGCAAACTGCAGCGGCTTCCACGACCAACGATAGAAAGGGGCTGCTGGCGGATTAGAGAAAATGGCGTCTCATTGGCTGTGCAAAAAAAACCTCAAACCCGGTCTGGTTTCGACCTGACGTGACCTGATCTGACCCAATCTTAAAAAACTCAACCCAAATAAAAGATTGAACTGAACGGATCAAACTATACATGCGGGTCAGACCAAACTAAAAATTACTCTTTTAAATTAATTAGTCTGGCTCAATCTAAGTTTTTTTTTTAATATTAAATAATTATATTATTTACAAAAAAAAATCTTACTCAATTGAGCTCTCTAAACTTTGATCTAATAGTCTTATTTGTCATTTCTCCATTTTGCTTGCCCTAGCTGTAGCTCTCTGAACTTTCACTCATCTCTCTGCCTCTCCTTGATCGACCGTCGCCCTATTTCTCCTCAAGCAATAGCTTGACTACTTCACTCAACCTTCTGATTCATTGTGCATTTTCCTCCTTCTTTTCCAGCGATGGCGTCAGCAACCGAAAGGTATTCGTATTTTGTGGTTTTTCTTTTAGTTTTTCTTGCTTTGTTTTTGGTTTTTCATGTTTTGTTTCCGGTTTTTCTTCTTCAACGACTTCTCCAACGATTTTTGTTCCATTTTCGCATGCTTTTATTTTGTTACTTCTCTCTTTCTGGTTTTTCTTGCTTTTTGGTGAGGTTGCTATAGACGGTGAGAGATGCAGTTGTTGCCACTTTCAAAAGTTTATACTTCCACCCTTTCGACAAAAGACACTTCTGTTGTTGTTATAGACTAATCTTTTATTGTTATAGACGGCTTCAATTTTGGAAGATCATTCCTCATTTTTTATTGATATAATCTGATATTTATTACATATTCGGTGAGGTTGCTATAATCTGATATTTGAACCTTATATCAGTAGTTTAAGGATAAATTTCTGCAACAATTAGATTACCTATGCTTATAATATTAATTCTTGGATTTGATTTGCTGGTGATCATGATAGAGAAGTGGCACTATATATGTCATATTTCTTTGAGAAAAGCTTGACTCTATGCTTGTGTTTGTGATTTTACAAGTTAACATTATGTCTTGTTTTTCATGTTAAAGACATAGTGGATGAAACCCCTACATCTACTGGTATTGACCAACCTTTACCAACACAATTAATTGGTTCTAGTCAAAATGAAATGCCACCTCTTACTGGACCAACTCCACCAACTCCTCCTCCTGTAGCTATTGATCTTGCCTCTAACCTTGCACAAGATTGTGGTCCAGAGAATATGAGTAGAAAGAGAATTTTGTGAAGAAAAGTAAACAATCACAAGTTTGGGAGCATTTTGTGAAGTTACCCTTGGAAGAAACAAATGAAGAGGTTAGAGCTTCTTGCAAATACTATCATGAAACTTATACTTGTGATCCAAACAAGCATAGGACAACATCATTGAAAAGGCACTTTCCAAAATGTCCTAAAAACCCACATAAGGCTACCACAATACCAAAGCAATCAATGTTGAATTACGTGATGCCAAGTGGGCAAGGAGGGGGCTTAGTCTCTCATGTTTTCAACCAAAAACGATGTAAAAGGGCATTGGCTGAATTTGTTGTTTGTGATGAGATGCCATTCAGGATAGTTGAGAAGTATGGGTTTAGAAACTTTGTGAGAGAGCTAGAACCAAGATTTCAAATCCCTTCACGAACAACAGTTGCTAGAGATTGTTAGCAACTATACCTTAGAGAAATTAAGATATTGAAGCAAGATTTCAAATTGTGTTTGCTTGACAACTGATTGCTAGCCATCTACTCAAAATTTCAATTACTTATGCCTAACTTGTCATTTCATTGATCCTGAGTGGAAGTTGCACAAGAGGATATTAAATTTCTACATGATTGAGAATCATAGGGGTGACACAATTGGAAAGACAATTGAGAAGTGTCTATTAGAATAGGGAATTGAGAAAGTGTTTACCATCACAATGGACAATGCATCATCTAATAACACGGCTTTGTCTTATTTGAAAAGAAGGCTTAAGAATTGGAAGGGCTTTAATTGAAATGTTCTGCATATATTCTTAACTTAGTGGTTAATGATGGGTTGAAGGAATTGAAGAATAACTTTGATACAATTTGCAATGCAATTAATATGTTTGTTCTTCTCCTACTAGTCTCTAAAAGTTTAAAAGTGTTGTTGAATTGGAGAAATTAAACACTACTAGCCTCGTTTGCCTTGATGTCAATACTCGATGGAATTCAACTTACTTGATGTTAGAATCTGCTTTAAAGTTTCAAAAGGCTTTTAAACACCTAGAAGATGAAAATGAAGATTATATGGGGCAATTCATTAGAGGCACTAAGCGTGAAGGCCCTCCTAAAGCTAGCGATTGGAATAAGGCACGTCTTTCTCAAATTTTTGAAGGTATTCTATGACATAACTTTAATGTTTTCAAGTTCACTGAATGTTACTTCTAACACTTGTTTCCATCAAATTGCTCTTATTCATGAGTTGTTGGAAGAGAACATTGTGAATGTTGATCCTTTGCTTATGGAAATGTCCTTAAATATGAGAAGCAAGTATGAAAAATATTAAGGTCAAATTTGCTCATTGTAGCGATGATTTTGGATCCTCGGTACAAGCTTGCTTATGTGAATCATATATTTGAGTAGCTTTTTCCTAATCTTAAAGTTTGCATGGCCATGAAAAGTAAGATCAAAGATGTCTTGTACCGTATGTTTGATAAGTATTCTAAAGGACTAGAAACTAGTACCCCAAGCAATACTTCTTCTTTTGCACTTCCACAATCATCAACATGTTCAATGCTTGAAGGCCAAAGGGGTGTAGATCCAGGTCGCATGTGGTTAGCATCTTAGAAAGAAAAAACTCATCAGACCCATAATCAGAATTAGATAAATATTTTTCATCTAATTCTACTGATGATGCCCCTATTGATGATGATTTTGATATATTAGCATGACGGAGAGCCAATTCTAATAAATACAAGGTTCTTTCTATGATGGCACGTGATGTCTTGGTTGTTCTAGTGTCTACACTGGCCTCTGAATCAGCCTTCAGCACAGGAGGACGCGTAATGGACTCTTACAGGTTCACCATCACCAAAGATGACTGAAGTACTTATCTATGCTCAAAACTGGCTACTTCCTGGACAATTTATCTCTGGATTTACATCTATGCTTCAAGAATTTGATAATTTTCAGGAGACCGAGAGTTTGGTGAAGACTAGTATGTGTTGCAATGATGATATTAACTATTTATATTTTATATAAATTATTATATGTTTTAGTTGTATTTGTTTTTTTTTATTTGTGATGTAATGCCATTGACTATTTATATTTTATATATTTTTTCATATCTTTCCAGTGTTACTAATGTTGGAGAGGGTGGTCGTGTGAGCGTCATTTGATGTTGAATGGCACTTATGTTTGTTAACTTTCAAATATTTTAGATATATTTTGGGCACATCTCACTAACTTTTTGTTATGTGAAAAAGCATGATGATAGTTTGATAGATTATTACTTATTTTTTGGCTAGCTAGCTATATCATGTGGTTGGCTAGAATATGTAGATAGTCATTTTTTTGAATAGACTATAAACCTTGACAATGAAATGTTGAATTGTTGACTAAGTAATTAGACTATGGTGAAATGTATATATTCTGAATATGAATATATTAATGGGTTTATTACTTTATCATATAGTTGTTGTTTTAGAAGATGGAGTTCAAATTCGCACACTCCTACTTTAATGGATTTATTATATGTTGTTCTACAAGGTTATCATGAACTTTTAGTTTCTAGCAATTAGTTGTGGCCCTTTATTTAAAAAAAATTAGCCAATATATATATTTTTTTTCAAAAAAAGGAAGGCCTGGTCCCTGCATTGTGCATATGTTTGATTTATTTAAACATGAAATCTTGCTATTTACATCAGGTCCAATTAAGCAGGAAACTCAATCGGTAATAAGCCTATAATGTTGATGCAAGTGAATAGGAAAGGGGATATAAGGGCCTTTTTTTTAGAGAGTTGGATTCAAGAAACTAGACTAGTCCAGTAACCCGGTAGACCAAGTTCGACTCGATCCAGGTCCTGGGTCCAATAAGACTGGACTAGTCTTTGAACTAAAAATTCTAGCCCGGTCTTCATTCAAACTAGACTTCAGGTTGGCATCCAACCTGATCCAGTCTAGTATTTGTGTAGCCCTGCATGCCGGGGTGGAAGAAAAGTAGGAAAAATTTAGGAACAAACTTCCAAAGAAAAAGAGCGAACAATGACGTGAGCCACATATAAAATTGTCAATTAGGATTGGTCCTTAAGAAGTCAAAACTTAAATCGGCTAATCCTAGTAAGCTCGATTATACTTCAAAACTCCCTTTTATAAAGCTCATCCCTAGCCTTTAGAGCTGACTATTTTTTTTTACTTTTTTAATTTAAAATTTTAAAAATATATTTATAATTCTAGAAAAAATTATTATATATAAAATTAAGTTTTAAAAAATAAATTTAAATCAATTTATACTGCAACAAATAAAGAAAACTTAAACAATCAGGTCTAATATTAAATAGTACCGTCAAAATTAATACTAATAAAAATTAGACTTAGCTAACATCATCACCTAAATCTTAATGAATGAATGAGGGAGGGATGAATGAATTTAATATGTTTATTTATTTTAATTATATATTTAATCTTCTATTTCTTTATATTACAATTTTTAAAAAAATAATAAAAGGGTTTAAAAGGGCTAGCCCTTGGGCCGACCGTTATATTTTCATATTTAAAAAGGCTATCTTTTAAGTTCAAATTATCATTTTTTTCTTTTAAAGTAGTGGCTCGGCTCTAGTTATTTTCGAGGTTAAAAGGACTGGCCTAATGAATTCAGCTCTAATTGATAGCTCTAGCTACGTACAAAGCATCAAGACACTAAGGTTTTTGGGGAATAGGAAAAATATCAATGTAATTAAATAAGGGACATTTCATGAATATGAAAAACCAAAAATGCCCTTAACCTCCTTTGCTTTGTTTTTTTTAACATCGGTTGAGGGATCTCCTGCTCATCTCTCC